CATACGCACAGTTCCATTGAATGAGAAATGTGTTTTAACAATGTTGTTAAACCGAATGTACGAAGGAAACCGTTAAAATAACCACAGCTTTAACAACAACCTTGAAATAATAGCGGGAGGTTTATCTGATAATCAGATGCATGAAAGTAGCGTTTGTTGCTATAGCAAACAGACTTCAGGTGTTTTCTTTCATATTCATCATTCGCCGATGGAGAGGAAAAGTTAAATACTATAGCATTTTATTTTATGAAAATGAGTTAAGAAGTTTTCGCACTGAAAGAGAAGTGATCTCGCGCTCATAGAATTAGACGTGCCAGGCTATATCTGCAGCTGTATAGAAAGCAGAATGAACTGAAACGTTAAGACTATAAACACAATAAATAAATAATTTATGAATGATGCAGTGCTAATTGACATCATTTATTACAGTACAGAAACTATAAAGTATATTTTCTACCTTATTCTTTGCAGAAAATTGTTATAATTGTTTGTAGTATATAAAACAATCATAAAAATTGCCATTAGGAAAAAATTATAGATTACAAATGATTGATTATTGTCCAGCTGTGTATTTGATTTCTTAAAGCAAATTCAAAGTAAGAGATAACAAAAGAATTCCTTGGGGGGGGAAAAAAAACCATACACAATTATTGTATTTGACATTTGTCACTTTTGAAATGATGGCTATGCCCCTGGTGTGACAACATGTTAGCCTATACATAATACTTTTAAAGCTCTTTATTTTTTAAAAACCTTGGCTTACATTTCTACGTATGCCATGTCATGCCATAGCATCATTAAACTAGCATCTAACAATGGACAAAAGTGTTTTTTCTTTTCTCTAACCTATGGTTCTGTAACCATAAAGGCTGCTGTGTAATTGACCCCCTGATTAAGCATTTAAAGAATTTAGGGGGAAGCATTTAAATAATCCCGTGAATGCACTTAAAGAATGCAGAATTGAATCGTTCTGAATTTGCAAAAAATCATTCTTGAATCGAATCGATTCGCTGTCTACCCAAAGATTCACAGCCCTAGTCTTTAGCATAATTTAATATCAAGTATAGAGCTATAGTAATAGTGATGCTTGCAATTAGTGCAGAATGCTTACTTGTGGTAGTATCTTGGGTATTATCATGTAAATTCTGCATTATTTTGCATCAAAAAAACTGATTGCATTATGTAACCAGAGGCATGCACAGAAAGTTGAAGTCCAGTGAATGTGTAACACGGGGTCAGATGGCCTTCGGCCATAGAGTCAGTGCGGTGTGACCGACTTGTCTTTTTCCAGCTCTGGTTTTATTTCTATCTTAAATTATTCCTCTGCACGCTGCTCCGGCCAGACCAGACCCGGCCCACCGGCTGCATGAAAGCACGATTGTGAATATACAGACCGCTGTATTGTCCGAGTCCAACTGGAGGTTTTCAACAGTGGCTCTCTTTTTTTCTGCTCTCTTTCACACTCTTGATTTGACCCTCAATCTTATTTAAGGATTGTAAAAATTTGAAGGGAATTATGACATGCCAGAGTTTGGGTGGTCTTGACAAGAAGCTGGGGGTGTAGTGTGTATCTGTTTATCTAGGACAATTCTCCTGTTGTCTACATGCCAACTGAGACACACGGCTGCACACAAATGCCAACTTAAACAAGCAGCCCACGTGCCTCAGGAATCAGAAATAGATCCATAAATATTCTCCTCTAGCTGTAGTTACTAAATTCACTACAGTTTTTATAGGCTTGTCAGTGAAGTTAATGTTTTTCTAGACTCACAACTATCGTCAGTATTCAGCAGAAGTCTGGTCAAGAACTGCCTACTTGGACAGGAAAAGCCAGTATTTGAGTATTGTTTAATATTTTCATATTCGCATGATTTCCTTAATGTTTTTAAAAATCCTTAAATTTCCATTATTAGGCATTTACATGTTATTGAATGTCAACCGTTACACTGTTTTTTTTTGCGAATGCTTAGTTTTGTGCGCAGTATTCAGACAGTCAGCAGTCTGAAACGGATTCATATTTCACAATCACTTCAACAAAACATTTCATAACATAAAAGGATAGATGTAGGGAATCTGCAGCGCTCAGCCAGGTAAACTCACAGCAGTTTAGTATGACAGCGAAATCCTGTTTGAATGTGAATTCCTTCTTAAATGATTAAGCTGGAGCCCTCTATCATTTCCTCTCTCACAGGTGTTCTGTTTCCCCAACAAGTGTAAGCTTGGCCTTAAATGTATCACCGCACAGGTGTGAGGGATCTGTCTGTGCCCTCACACACATGCTGAAATGTTTTGGGAGATGTTTAGGTGTGAGCATCAGGGCGCCGTATGAAGATCATCATGTTTTTCAGGCCTGACGTTGGGCCATGTGATCACGTCTGGAGCGCTGAGGGGACTGAGGGTGTGCCGTTTGTGTTGGTGTGGGTCTTCTGAAGAGGAAATGGTAAACAGTTCTTAGATCTTCTCATAGTTTGCTCGCTGTTTTCCCTCACAATAGATGGGCACCATGTAAATTGTATGTTAAACAAAAACCAAACCACATCAATAACGTTTCAGCCACTTCAAAGAACTTCATAAGATAAATGAAATGACACATCAACATATAACCTCTAAATAAAGCAATTTGCAGTAATGTAAACTATAAAATGACAAGTACAATATTTAAGAACTTCTAAGATGTGTCAATGAGACGTGAAACCATACTTTACTGTTTCCCCAGAAGAGTATAATTGCTGCTGAAACAGATGTTTGTTCTGAGAGGAGTCAGTGAGTGAGTGCTGATGGAGACAGGAAGAGCTAGAGGACTCCATATATCGTCATCAGTGGACATTTTAAGCTCTTGGTTTACAGAATTTGCTTGGAGATCTTATGGAGCAACCGTTTCTTTCGTATGGACTTGAAATCCAAATAAACTGATGAAGGAACAGGAAAAACTGAAAAGAAGACGTTAAATCATAGTATCCCACAAAGTCCTCAAATAAAACCATTAAAGGGGTCATATGATGTTGCTAAAAGAACATTATTTTGTGTATTTGGTGTAATGAAATGTTTATGCGGTTTAAGGTTAAAAAAAAGACATTATTTTCCACATTCGACGAAGGAGCGTCCGGAGGGCTTGCGACAACCACATGTGACGACCCCAGATCTTCTTTATGCACCAAGAGCTCGTAACACTCCAAAGAGAAAGGAAAAATTTAAATCGCATCATATGACCCCTTTAAAAAGATGAAGATTGCCATGTCAGTGGAAATGTGTAAGCGGATATAGTTGATAGAAGTCTAATCAGGGAAAAGTTCAAACACTCGAACAAAATGAAAGCATTTAAAAAGAGAAAATATAGGAATTTAATTAGAATTATATAAATTAGAAATATATTATATATAATTGTAATTAAATTAGAATATATATAATTAGTTTTGTTTAAATTTATATTTTTTTACAAATTTAGTTTTTTTTTCACTTATTGAACTAATTAATTTATTATACACTATTACAAATATAATTTATATATGTCTATGGATTGGTATGTTTTTTTCTTTGTCTGTTTGAATGATTGAGATTGTTTCTGCTCTCTTCTAAAGGTGTTATCACACTGATGAGCTGGTGTTTGCTGTGGTCTGTTTCAGCTGTCACAGATAACAGTAATCATACACTGTTAGACGCAGTGTGCAACACTCCAGGACAGAAAGTTTAACCCATAACTCTACTGGTTTGTACTTGTGCTTCATAATCACAGGTCTCACGGTGTCGCAGTGTGTGTGTGATGTGCACTTTAACCTCAGAGTCTCTCTATGGTATAGTTTCCATGAAAAAGGATTGTCCTCGGGACAAATGGAGGCAGTCATTTCTCAGAAAGAGTACACCGACATGCACACCAGACCGATACTATCTGTAGTCTCGATGCTTGCCATGTTGTCTCACAGCATATGAGAGCCTCGGGCTTCAGGTTCTGCGAGTAGTTTTTGGTATAGCTGCTCTGTAAGATGTGAATAGCAGTGCAAACACTCCACACCACATCAAAGCGCCCCTGATGGCCTGTGACGTCCAGAAGAGACCACAATGATGTAGCATGAATGATCCATTGAGTGATGTCTTCCTAGGAAAGGAACCGTTCATTTCCTGCTGAAGATACTGACACATGTCTTTTAAGCATGGCAAATACTAATGTAATTTTGTAAGTTAGGCAAGAAAGATGTTTGTTGTAGTGAATAATTTTGACTGCCATGTCCTAAACTTAAATCTTAATTTGAGGTTTGTTAAGTAGCTTCAACCGTGATTGATAAGGCATTTAGACAGTCAGTTACTTGATTTCCATGTTGTTGGGCATTCTGGGTAACCTGTCCCACGGCGGAATCTCAGTGCTCTGTAAGGACCACCCATTGGCCCAATGGCGGAAATCAATGGCATAGGCGTAGTTAAAATGTATGTAGGTCTTTTACTTGCGTTTCTGCAAAGCTCACTTAATTTTTTGTCAATTTGACTCAAGCTTCGTGTTTAATCTGACTCCAATTTCAAGTGTCCAATTTCAAAATCCTTGTTTGAAACATCATAATTGTGATTTATGAGTTATTTTGTGGTCCCTTAGATATTTTTCCCCCTATCAGTGTCAAAAAATTACTTGTAAGTTTGGATGGCCTGAAATTTGATGTCATTTTTGGCTTACTTTTATATATTAAATTTTTTTAATATTTATTACTATTTTTGTGTGTATATTTCTTTTTTTTAATGAACATGGATGTTATCATACTGCTTTTTTCAGTTGCTTATTAAAAACAAACCACTAAAGGCCGTGCATTACAGTAAGTTTACCATGCTTACCATGCTATCATGGTTTGTTTTTGAATGTATTTGTTTCTCTGTGTTCAGGCTGTTGGCCGTGTGTTACTGCTTCAGTTGATCGATTATCTGACCAGCCGTTACCTGAGTGATCCGCTGGTGACACGTTTGTTGAACAGCAGTCGTGTGCACATCCTGCCATCCATGAACCCGGACGGCTTTGAGTCATCTGCCCGGGAATGCATGTATACAAAAGGCCGGTAAGTGTGAGAGAGATGCCAAAGCTATATGAACAACGGCTAGCATGCCCAACGTTTAACATAGGCATATGGTTAAAATCTGGACATAAGTAACAATCAATGAGCCATCAACATTATGTCCTGAATTTTTTTACTTATTGCGTACATACAGGGATAGTTCACCCAATAATGAAAATGATTTTCATGGTTTTCCATTCTCTGTGCAACACAAAAAGACAAATGTTGACACACGTACTGGCTACTACCTGTTTCTAGTCTCAGGCCTACTAGGGACAATGTGGTGTACAGTTTCAGGATTGGGTAGAGTTTAACGTTAAGTTTGTACATTTGAATAAAAGGAGAATCAGTTTTTCCATAATCATAAACAAAATCATTTGTTCTTTCAAAAGCTGAATTTATTTTGCTGCAAGGAATTCAGAACGGTTTATTTCCAAGTTGTCAGAGCCTGTAATGGTCTGCCCAGAGAAATCATGCCTCAGATGAGACGTTTAGAGATACAGCACACTTTTCCAACAAATCATCCAAAACCTTGCCGATAAGCAGGATACAAAAGCCGAAAACGCATGTCTTATCTGGCATGAGGGATCTTACTCACACATGCAGACGCGCAAAGATAAACCTCCATTATAGCAAACAGACTGAAACTCAAACTGTGTGACCCACAGACTCCCAAACAGTGGTACATAGTTTTCCAGGAGGAAAGAGGTGTCATAAGCCCTGAAGCAATGGAAAATAACTTCCTTGGTCTGTCGCAACAACCTGCTGATAAACAAAAATGTACCCATGTGGGAAAAAATGGTGAAATCTGCAATCAGAAGATATGAAATCCCCTATCTGGATAACTGAGTTTTGTTCATCCCCGTGGATGTAACAATGCGGCTTTTGACCAGACCGTGCCAACCGGACGACAAAATGCTGTACAATCACTTTGGTGTCTTCTGATTTCAATGATACCAATCAAATACAAGTCAGCACCTCATGTTGTCCTTTTTTGTTCAGAGAAACTAGATGATGTAGATGGGTTGTATGGAGGCAAGGCGTGGACGTTCCCATTGAGTGATCTCAATCTGTAATCACTCCGTATGGTTAGAAATAAAGCAAACTTAACCCTTGAATGCATGAATGTTTTGCTAATTATGTTACGTAACAGGGTTTTAGTGACCTGGAATCTACACAACAGTATATACTGTTGTGAAATTTTAATTGTAATTTAATAAATTAAAGCGCATTTTGCTGGAAGGACTAGGAAGGGTGTTTTAATCAACTGCTTTACCGCCGTCGTCATATATTCAGCATCAAACGGTTTCCTTTTTATCATCTTCAAAATTGTGTTTGCCGACAGCTTTGTCATCAGATCCACCATTAAATGACACCAATATTTGATTATGAACTTGCTCTTCAGTAAATCGCTGAGCCATGTAAAGATTTGCTGATGGATCATCTTGTTTTATGTCTACAGTCATTTTTACGCATTACGTCACCATTGTTTATCAGATGCCGCCAACTTGAGAAATAAGTACACCTATTGAGATGTCATATATTCCACATTGTTGCATGGAAAAAATGGATGGGTGACATCCTGTGTCACTAAAGACCCGGGGTGTGCATTTAAGGGTTCATTAGCTAAACTCAAACACTGAAGACAAATAGAGAGTAATAGTTACATGTCATTCAAGTGTATTTGCTTTTAGCTACTGGCAGGTGTTTTGCTTTGCTCTAAAGAGAGAACAGGGTAGATCTCAGCTGTTCTTAACTGTACGTTATACTTTCTGATGTTTCTAAATGCATAAGAAACATGGATTTCATCCCCTGACAAAATTACAGGCTTGCTCAGTATCTCTAGCTCGTCAGTAAAGAAAAATGAGTAACTGGAGCCACACATACTCTGGGATATTGGTTTATTTTGATTCAGAAGTGACTGTCCGGGACATCAAAAAGTGAGTAATTTTAGTTACTTGTGGATCATCTATCCTTAAAATGTGTATATTAGTACCTTAAAGTAGTTTGCTGGGTTATATATATATATATATATTATAATTTTTTTTTTCAGCAAGCCTTGTTTAGTTGCAATGTCGGTAAGTATATATAAATTAAGAAATTGTGTTCTTTCTTTGTGTTATCTGCACCAAGGTTATTTGTCAGCTAAATTCACCATAATTGTGCGTCATCCAGCAGAGTTTTGCTGACAAATAAGTTCCAAGACTGATGCCAGCAGTTTTAGAACTTGATTATGCTGCCACGTATAACGCCCTTGAGTGAGGCTTGTAGCTCATCCTGGTCGTGTCTCAGGGATGCAGGTGCTTTACACAGGGAACAAGAGTTGTCTTCTCCCAACTGCTAATTCCGGTTCTGAGGTGTGGGTAGGAGATCATAGGTGGCTCTGATGAGAAAATTCAGCTCCGCTGAGGTTCCTCCATTTCCCAGATATCACACCAGCTGAGTTGCCTCTTTTCAAGGTTCAACCAGTTAGTCCCTTGACCCTGCTTGGCCACTGAAATGGGAAAATCCTACTGATGATTGTGGAGAAGCATTTGTGGTAGTTGGCTTCTGTTCCAAGACTGATGCCAGCAGTTTTAGAACTTGATTATGCTGCCACGTATAACGCCCTTGAGTGAGGCTTGTAGCTCATCCTGGTCGTGTCTCAGGGATGCAGGTGCTTTACACAGGGAACAAGAGTTGTCTTCTCCCAACTACTAATTCCGGTTCTGAGGTGTGGGTAGGAGATCATAGGTGGCTCTGACGAGAAAATTCAGCTCCGCTGAGGTTCCTCCATTTCCCAGATATCACACCAGCTGAGTTGCCTCTTTTCAAGGTTCAACCAGTTAGTTCCTTGACCCTGCTTGGCCACTGAAATGGCTTTAGTGTGCCCCTCTAGATCCTCCTGCCTCCTCATCTCTTCCACCATGAACTGTCTCTTCTGCCTTGATGTTGCCTTATACCATTGATTTGATTTTGGGATGAGTCCAAAGCCAGCTCTCCCTTGTTGGACTTGAACAACCAAATCCCTGAAATGAAGAGCTGGCCATGTATCGTGCACAACTTCAATTGGATTCCACTTTTTTTTCCTGCTGCCAATCCGTGAGGGTCATAACCACCCTTGCTTTTGTACATTTGAATTGTTCCCTCTGACTTGTAAGGGGTAGTTCCAGTTTGCCACTCCCGTACAGTCCCACAGCACTTAAACATTGTGGAAGTCTGAGCCCCTGTTTGGCTTGTGCACTTATCACCCTCTCCAGCTTTTCGTCTTTGCTGAGGGGAAACTCTTACCCTGTTAAAGGGCACACGAGTCTAGTCAGTGTGCCAAGCTGTAAGCACCACAGTTTGAGTTTTCCTGGCAGGAAAGTTAGTTGTTCAAACTGCCCAGTGTCTTTGAGCTTTCCATCTACCCATCGTACCATCTACCCAAACCTTTCACTGGCCTTTCTGAACCCGTTGGTACAGGCATTCCATCATGAAATCTTTGATCTGTGACATGACCTTTAACAATGGAGATGTTTCTGCATACACTGGGCTTAATTTTTATCCTCGCTCGTGTGATGGTTTGTAGCTTTTCTAGAATTCTTTTGATGCAGGGGGCTGTTTTCGTAAGTGTTCTCATCCATAAAGGCTCATATCAGTGGTAACCACGGACCAAACTATGGTCCTTTCCCTCCTGCAACCCTTAAGGCTCTGATTATAAGCCATGTTATTATTGTAGGAACCTTAAAGAACTCAAAAGCTGTCCTCAGGAAAAAATGAGGAACTGATCTAAAGGTGTTTGCCAGATCAAGAAACAAGAAGTGCAGTTGCATTCCTTTTTTTAGCCATCTGTATTTGATCAGATGTATTAAAGGGGTGGTTCGGTGGTTTGTTTTCGCAGAGGATATTATTGAAGAGGATCGTGCAGAACCTGTGCAAGCACGGCTTTTAATGGTAGGCCTATGTTTTTTGTTTGTTTTTGTCTCATACTTTTAGATACGCTGATATTTGTAAATGCCACTGCTTATGTAAGCTTTTAATATACAGTTTTATCCTGATTAATGCTTTAATACAATACGGCAACTGCACGCGCGTCCATGTTTAACGCTTCTCACAGCTATGTGAAAATAAGTGTATAATTGTAACAGTTCATTGCTGGAGCCGAGCTGAATGAGAGAGAGAGAGAGAGAGAGAGAGAGAGAGAGAGATGCAGAG